ATAATATTTTAAAAAATATATTATTTAATATATACTACTTTCATCCCGAATTAAAATATATTTTTTTTTCTAATTTTCGTCAATAATATAGATTTATTTTATTATTAATTTTCACTATAAAGAATGCACAAAATTAAAATGATAAGATGAAAAATTTAATTTAAAAAATACAATACATAGCATAATAATTTAAATACAAGATAAAACACAATACAATACATAACATAAATAATTAATTTATCACAATAATAATTTAGTAATCTGGTAGGTCGTTTTTAAATTTAGCACTATTCGAAAAAAATAGGGTATGAACGATTTTTAGCTAGACATAAAAAAACTAAGGACAAAAATACTTATTTTGAACTCCGTAATGCATTAATAGAATATATATGGGGAGCAACGTAATAATTTTTGAAAGTTGAGTGTTTTATGTAATTGTATTTCACTTTTATTTGAATTTGTTCATTAATTTATATATTATATAATATTTTCTTGCAATTTATGTTATTTAAAAATTTGAAATAAATAAAATTTTATATTAAATAAAAAATTTGAAAAAATAAAATTTTATATCACATGAAAATTATATAAAGGTAATTATTTTGGGGAAAAAGAAAGAAAGGGATTTATATAATGAAATAAGAAAATAAGAATGAAAATAGAAATAATAATATAATATTGAGGAGAGAGAAAATATTCTTTTTAGAGAGTAAAATAGAGAATTAAATTGGAGTTTTATAGTTGTCTGAGAAAATATAGAGAACTTTATATTTGAAGAGTAAAATAGAGTTTATGGTTGGAGATGCCCCTACAATTACTTCCTCATTTTTTGTAACGATATTTGATTGAGCATAACATTTTTTTAAATAAAAAACAGAATTTAAAATAAGTTATAAATATTTGTATAATTATGAAAAATAGTACAATAATATTTCTTTCGAAATTGAGAGAGCAAACCAGTACGTAACCATGTGGAAATGCCTCGAGGTTGGTATTACTCCACTTATATATATATTCACCTCGAATACGGCTTGACCAAGTGATTGACCTGTTCTAATACATCTGTGCCATATATATTAATATATAAAGAATAATTAGGTACAGAAATTAATGAGCCTAGAATTTCTCAAATTAGTCTCTTATGAGGTAGAGTAAGATTGAGCATAAATAATGGCGGAATCAAAAGCATTAAAGGGTTTAAAATATAAAAAAGTCGAAAGGGTTTAATATCTATTACATAATTTTAACCATATATAAACTTTCCATTGAAGGCGAACGGGTTTGGATGAACCCATCGGTCCTACCTAGCTTTGCCTGAGTATACACCACCATCTCTAAATTTCACTTGTGAGATTATACTGAATTTGTTATTGTAATTAAAATAGGTAAGTAATAATAATTTATTTATCACTCTATTTAATTGAATTCCGATCCTTTTCCTTTACCAAACCTATAATTTTCATTGTTTAACAACTTGCCACATGCTATTAATTTTGAATTAGTCATTACAATATTGAACAACTAAAATAAAACAAATATATATATATATATATATTGCACG